CAGTGTGCTGGAAAGAACGCAAACCATTTGGGGTACGTCTTCATAAACCTTCGCGGCAGGTTCCAGTGTATCTTCCGAATGCGGTAGGCCTTGCCAGCGGACGACTATCATCAAACCGTCCGGTGTATCTTCAAAGCGCAGAAGACGAGAAACAGGCATGCCCGTTTCGGAACTCAACACGTGCGAAATAACCGCTTCGGTATTCAGCGAACTGTCGTGGTAGAACTTCAGGCGGGATGCGTAAATGTCCTCCAGGTTACCTTTGCGGAGATCTTCCACTTAGTAAACGAAGTCGTTGAGCGCCTTGATGACGCAGCGCGGTCCACGCCAACGCAGCGCGAGTTTTGCGCCAGCGAAGAACTCTTCGCGAGCGACGAGGACGAAATCACCATTGGTAAAGTTCGGTAGCAAACCTTTAGAGGATAACTCACGAGCCTTCTCTCGGTTGTTCTGTAGAGTTTTCTGTACCAATGAGTGTAAGTCAGCAACATACTTCTGAAGTTGCTGCACATTGAGCAGACGCTCAAGCTGAGCGTCATCAACCGAAATGGGTGTTACGGTATCCGTTCGTAGGAAGGTAGAAATCGGCGGAGAGGGTTCCATGCCGGTGAACGCCGTTATCGGTGCCATATTTCCACGTTGGGGTGAAGGTGCGTTGTTGAGCGCACTTTGTACCAAAGGTAGCGCGAACGGGATGCGGGTGGGACGGCGGCGGGGCTGCGCGCGGCGGGGAGGGAAGAGGTGGTGGGGGCGGACACGTGAGCCAGTCAGGTTGCGGCGGGTGATGGGCGGTGGAATGAATTGGGAAAGGGAGAATTTTGGGGTTTTGGGGCGGGAATTCGGGCACGAAATGTGGTTCCCCCCGTGGAAAGATGTCGCACATGTCGGATCAACTCGGCAACAGCGTGTCGCAGCGCAGTACATGTACGTGCTGGAGCGGTGGCGGTGGGATTTTGCGTAAATATTTTGCGAGGCGGCGCCGGCGGGGAGCACGTTGGGACTGGGGGCCGTCTCGGTGGGGACCGTCTCGGTAGGGACCGTCTCGGTGGGGACCCGTCTCGGTGGGGACCCGTCTCGGTGGGGACCGTCTCCGCGCCTCGACCTCGCCCGGTCGACGGGAGATGGGTTGTCACTGACAATCCTATCCCACCTCTCATCACTGACAAGTTGTCAGTGATGAGAGGTGGGATAGGGAGCGAGGCGTAGGTGATTTTGGCGGGGTGTGTCCCGGGCCGCATGGCATGCATGCCTTTTCACCATTCTTCGGGCTTAAGGTGTGTGATGCGAAGAGCACCGATGCCTCCCTCTTCCTGTACAGTAGAGGATGGCACATAATCCGCTAATCCGCTAATCCGCTACACGTAATCCGCTAATCCGCTAATCCCGATCACCCCTTAACGGTGGCTTTTATTATGTGCGTGTCTGATGCGCCCCGACGGCAGTGCCTTAGCTACTGTGCTGGACGTGGCGAGGAATGGCGTAGAAAAAAGGCAGTTTTGGACTTGGGCCACAGACTTTTTACACCGACGCATGCGTTTTTGCTGCAATAGACGTAATGATGCTCAGAATTCACTAGGCGCGAAACGCGATGCGCTCTCATCACGACTGCGTGGATGCCTTTTTTGGCGCCAAGGTTGTGTGCATTCTCGTTCTGGCGCCAAGATTGTGACAAGGGCTGCGGTATGGGCTCATTCGCGTTCCCACTGCTCTCGAAGTCAAGTCTCTCGGAAACGAACTTGCTTGCTGGCATCAATCTAATCGGTAATGCTGTACACGTGGTGGCTGTCAGCATTCTCATACTGTATACTGTACGGTACACGCTGAGGTGCATGAAGCCGGTACTGTACCACGTATCACACGTTTCTCGGCAAATGTACTGTAAACCGCCAGAATGCACATGAAACCGTTCACCGTTCGTCGTTTGTCGTTTGCATTTCGCACCACCCTTCTACCGAAGCGTAGTGCATGAAATGCTCGAAAGGCGCGTGCCTATAGCGTGCGTTTGTAACAAGTCAAGTGCGGCGACTAAATAATGCCACCGGGCTTCACTCATGTTCCGTAGGGGGAAGCACTGGTGTCTAGGCGACAAGTGACCTCATATGAGCCCATTTGACCGCACATGAGCGCAGGGGGAAAGCACTAGTGTTGAAAGGGACAATTGGGAGTCAACCGAGCTGCTCTCTCTGCGTTTGCCCGGCCCTCATGGTTTGCCATTCCGTTAGAAATTAATTGAGGAATAACCGACGCGGACCTGCTCTGAATCCTCTTGGTACGGCAGGACGCGGCGCGCACCATAGATGGCATGCGCATCTACTGTAGGGAGCATAGGGTGAGGTGGCGAATTGCCAACCCGTTCGAGAGATGCGTGTTACAAGGAGGCATGTTTGGGACGACGGCAACAAGGCGAGGCGGAGGAGACGGCTCGGGGGAAGTGAGGCCCGTCAGTCAAGGTGCAAATCAGAGGCTGGCTGGGTGTAAGGACGTCCATCAAGGCGGCGAAGGGGAAGAACGGTCCGCCGTTTTGCGCTGACGAAATCACTGAATTTCCGCTTAATTTCCTCCTCCGCACTGTAGTCCCATGGCCCGTCTTAATACACAACGACCTTTCACATCCCCCGTTCATCTGTCCACTTCTGTCCAACCGCCTTCTGCCCTCAACCGACCCCATGTCGATGAATGCCGCACAATCAGCTTTCATTTCCGAGAAGACGTCATCCCGATCCCTCGCCTGTGTTTTTCTATTCTTGACATCGCGAAGAATTGCACGTATTATATTCGCTGCAAGCGGTAGATCTGACGCAATGGCATCTGTTCGCTTCAGTCGGGCCTCCATTCGCATTCGATATACATGAATTGCAAGCTCAGTGCGGTTTAGTTTTAGCAAGGAACGAATTGCCACTCGGTAGGTCCTCGCATCTGGTCGAATTCCCGCAGCGCCCCAATCGCTTGTTCCAGCTTCCGTCTCTTCCAATAGCGTCACAATCTTTCTCGCAGCACCCCCCTTGCTCTTCTTATTGATCTGTGCGGCCAATGATTCCTGTGAGAGTTCTGCAATGTCTTTGGTGTCAGCTGCTAGTTCCGGCTTTGCCCTTTTTGGCTTTGCCCTTTTTGGAGCTTGTTGTTTCATGATAGTTCTGGATGAGCCAAAGCTGGCAGAACCGGTATACCGGCGGTATTCACTCTGAAACGATCTGCGCAGCAACGGCAAAGACGACGAAGAGCATATGTTTCTTCCTATATCCCATCTCCGACCACACCATACTGTAAATGAGAAGGTCGATGCAGCAAACGCCTGTAGGCGTCCTCTTGAGGATAAAGCTGTTGACAAGGACTGTCGCACGACTGGCGTCATTTTCACAGAATAATGACCGCAGTGCCGCTTGTGTGTGCCAGGCGAAGCTCCGGCTTTCGAGGGATGTGCAGCAATTATTCGCGAAACTGTCGCATCGGTTAGCTTCTGATGAGAGAGACAGAACGGGAACGAAGTGAGAAAAACCTGTGCATGAGATTATTGACGTAAAGCGGTTTTCCGACAAAAAAAACACACACACTACAAATGATACAGTACTCCTCTTGAATTTTTATAACAGCTCATGTGAGCGATGATAGACGCTTTCGATTGGTTGCGAGTGGGAGAAGTTGGCATTCGAACGTGAGCGCAGCGAGGCTGAGCGCGCTGAGCGCGAACACGAGGGGGAGGAGCGATGCGAGGAGCGCGAGAAGACGCAGGAGCTAGAGTTGCCTAAGTATAAACTCCTGATAGAGGCTCTTAATAGAAAGTAAAAAAGGGCTTCTAAGCCCACTTTCAAATGTTGTTTACTAAAGAAAAATGACTTTTTACCTACTTTATCTGCAAAGTTTCCGCTCGCGCGGGGATCACTGCGCGGCAGCGGACCAAGTCT